TTTTGAAGATCTCAGTTTCTAACTGGTACGTGCCACAGAGTGCTCTAGACCCCTGATGGGAATGAAGTTTCTGTGAGCACAAGCTTATTGATACATGTGTACACACACGTGTGTGTGTTTGTGTGTGTGTGTGAGTGTGTGTTGGGTGCAAATATGTAATAGGAATGTTCCAAACCAAATAATAGGACAGTAGAAAGAACAAGATAAAAATTTATATACAGATTATGGGCTTTAGAAACTGTTCTGCTTCAAAGTTGAAAATTAACGGGGGATGGGAGAGAGCTTTAAAGTGTTCATGCTTGCCAGCCTATTTTATGGTTTTATTTAAAATTCAGCTTTTACAATGTTCAAATATCATCCCTAAGTCTGGAGTTCTTTACCTGTAAAAAGTACCTTATTCTGGATTTTCTCCAAAGTTTAGAAGAGAAAAAGCATGGGGTCCATTCAGCACAGTTCCCGACTCAGAGGAGAGGTTGCTCTGGTTGTTTTGGAGGTTAATGCTGCTGTCGCTATCAATGGAGCCATTGTGGGAAGGGAGAGGTCTGCCCAAGCCTCAGGAAAAACTCCACAGAAGGGCCCAGGAAGTATTTGGATAGGATCACAGGAAAGGAAAAGGCAGTTCAAACCAGGAGAGCTCTCTGAATGAACACAGGGTGTCAGCCAGGAATGCACGTGCTGTTTAAAAAGAGCGGAAGCCCAAGAGACACAGACTTCCCAGCAACATCACAGAGCTTTGTTCCCTTGGGCGAGAGTGAGAAGGGAAGAGGTTTCAGTGGGTAAAGGATGGTAAAGACCTTCGGATCTGAAAGTCAGTAATCTGATTTTAACATCCTCCTTTGATCCTAAAATTCTAATAACCCACGTTTTATAGAGAAAAAGTCTGAAGCCTAGCTTGGTAAATGACCTTCTCAGAGTCACATAACACAAGGGAGAAAGAGCTCGGACCTCTAGCCCTTCACTCCAACGGGAGGGAGACCCTGCACAGCAATCTGGCTGCAGGCGGGCTGCCCTGTGTGCTGGGCACCAAGGTGACTTCTGTGTCATCTCACAGCCCCAGTTAGTTTCCAGTTCTGCCCCAACCACTACCTCACACTGCCTGCATAGAATATTTATTATCTATTAATTACACCGGGAGAATACTTTTCATGGTGTTTTAAAAAATTACTTAAAAAAATTAACCCAAACCAAAGCATGAATATAAAGGAAGCCTATTGTCTCAGGTAGAAATGTCTGTAGTGCTTCCCAGTTGGTTCCCTTGAGACACAGTGAGCAGTACTGGTGATGAAAGAGGGGGTGCTTCGATCACAGCCACAGCTCCCACTACGTGAGCACAGTCCAGCCAGACACAGGACTGAACACATTTCCCGACCGAGGTTTTAAGTCCTCATAACCGCTGGCAGGATGGCTCCTGTTTATTCCCATTTTACAGATTTGAGAAGTAAAGTGATTTGCTTAGGTTTACCAAGCTAAGCCTGCATTTAAACCCTTGTTCCCCTGCTCCAAGCCTGGCCTTTAAAAAGCAGCTTCCCTTCCTTAGAGCAGCACAGGGGGCATGGGAATTGCATTATTCCAAGCACCAGCTGTTGCAGAGAGCGAGATGCTTAGAAAGAGCCGCACAGTGTCCTAATTACCTGTGGCAAGGAAAACATCTGTGTGGGAAAAGTAATGAAATTAATTCTAAAGTCTAGCAGTTGCCTACATTAATTGATGTTAATTAATGCCAAATTACAAGATACTTCCTATGAAATTGCATCATAAACTCACCGGAATTGAATATGGAAAGAGTTCATCATGCTTAATGCTGTTACAGCGAGCCCCAAGGGGAATAAGAATGATTGGTCCCTCAGTATGAAGTGCAGCCAGTTTCTTTCTGTTTCCATTAGGAGGGGAAGGAGAACAAACCAGGAGCAGTTTACCACAGGCAGGCCACTGGGAATTGATCAGTTCCCCTTCAGCTTGCAAATTTCACTTTGAATCTCTCCAGGAAAGACATGGTTTCAAGACCTCTTCCTGGGGCTTTTCTTGGGTGCCTCGGTTGTACATTTTGTAATTCTCAGCTCAAGAACGGCTCATTGCACAGTTCTGCCTCAGTATGTGGCACGGGGAGTGAAGAGAAAACAAGCAAAGGAATTAGAGACAGTTCTCTAATTCTTGCAAGCAGGATCCCACAAGCCCACCATGACCCCTGGCCCCTTTCCCCGGCTGAGAGGTGCTGACGAAAGATTTGACCCTGGTTGTCTGCCTCTCTCACATCACTGCCTCTACGTGAGTGTTGACATCACATATATAACTTTTATTCATTTTCCCCATGTAAACATACATATGTAGACATCTATATATATACCACTTGCACAAAATCGTGTCCATATGCACATATTTTGGTAGCCTACTTTTTAAAAACTTTTATTTTGGAATAAATTTAGATAAACAGAGAAGTTACCAAGATAGCGCAGCTTTACCCAGCTTCTCCTAATGTTAACGTCTTATACAACCATGTTCTCTTTCTCAAAGCTAAGAAATTAACATTGATACAGCATTATTAATTGGTAAGCTATTTTTATGATATAAAATGCATTAAGCATTTCTGTAATTCCTCATATATAGTCTAAAGGCAGAATTTTAATAGCAAACTATGCATGTGCCACAGTCTATTTAGTTGTTCCTCAATTGTTGGCCTTTTTGTTTTCTCTTATTTTTTTAAATTATAAGCAACACTATGATGAATATCAGAGTAGATAAATCTTGGCATAGATCATTAATTATTTCTTCAAGTCGAATTCTCAGAAATGAACCCGAAAAGATGTTGATCCATAATGCCAAGCAAGACTCAGGAAGGTAATTTCCTTTGAATTATGCAGCTATGACCACACCAGAACTCAAGCCCAGGTCTCACAGATGCCAATCTCCATTTCTATGACCCTGAGTTGCCTTTTGAAAAACAGAAGTCAACTAAAGCTGTAAAAGGGTCTGATGGAGTGTGAAATTGTCAGGTACAGATTTTGTGTGGCATGGGGAGAACTGTTCTGGGAAGGGATGAATCCCAGAAATTCTCTTCAGGGAGAAAGATCATGAGTTATGCCCTAAAATGAAACTATAAGAATGTCTAAGAAAGGAGATAGGGAAGGGAGAGTAAAAGGCTTTTCTTTTTTTTTTTTTTTCGGTACGCTGGCCTCTCACCGTTGCGGCCTCTCCCGTTGCGGAGCGCAGGCTCAGCGGCCATGGCTTACTGGCCCAGCCACTCCGCGGCATGCGGAATCCTCCCAGACCGGGCCACGAACCCGTGTCCCCTGCATCGGCAGGCGGACTCCCAACCACTGCGCCACCAGGGAAGCCTGAAAGGCTTTTCTTTAATTTCTCTTTGGAGGACTAGATGGGTTAAAATACTTGAGAGCTATCCCCATCACCACACATGGCAGCGGGATAAAGGAAGATTGTAGATAAAGCTCTCCTTCCCTCTCCTTAGAGCTTATCAGCAGCTACGTCAGCCATTGGTCAGTTGGAGCAAATATGCATGCCGCCCCCTAGCGGCACTCCTTGTAGAATACAGGTTTACCCAAGTTCTTCAGTAAAAGTAGTGCTAGAAATTTCCTTCAGGGAAGTCAATTAGTGAATCCTAATATCCAACTCAACATACGATTGCCTACCCCCCATTTCATGTAAATAATCATGCCCTGATTTCTTCATTTGGAAGAGTGGATTTCTTCATACATCTTTGATGTCCTAAAATTAAACTTAGCCACTCATTAAGCACCAAAAAAAAAGGTAAAATAACTTCCTTTTTCATTCAAAAAGATATATTCCAGTAAAGTGGTATGTTCCAAGGAATATTTATTTATTACGTACTATGTGCCTGGAACAGTATTAGAATCTGGAGGTCTAGGAGGAAACAACAAAGACAAAAGAGGTCTCTGTCTTCATGGAGCTTATATTCTAACAGGGAGAGGGGCAGGAATAAATCATGAGCAAGGTGACTTTAGATTGTGATAAATTCCATGAAGGGAATTAACAGGATGGAGTGTTATCGAAAGTAATCATGGAAAACCCTCAGAAGTAACAGTAAGCTGAAATCTAGACTTTTGTTGGGGAACAACCTGGGGAGAAGCAGTTTAGGCAGAGAGAATACAAATGTAAAGCCTCTTTAGTGGTAGAAAGTTTGGCCAAATTCCTGAACATATTGCAGTTTAGATTAGAAGAGTCACAGGGAGAGAAGAGACTAGCACGAGGGGCAGTTGAAGCAGTGGTGGTAGAGGGTTTGAATTTATTCTAAGTGCAAGGAGGCAAAAGGACTTTTAAGTGACATCGGATTCATAGAGAGGGCAGAATAGTTGTGGTTGAAAAAGTGACAGCCTCCCTCATACAATATACTTCCGGCAACAGGGATCAAATCTATTGAGTTGTTATTACTGATATGTTTATCACCTGCTATAGTCTCAGGTGAGATGCAGGGTCTTAGTTTACTCACCTATAAAATGAGGGCAAAGTTTTTGATTTGGGAATCTCCTCTCAATTCTGTTTTATTTCCAATTAGTAATAGAAGAAAAACCTTCATCTTCACATAGCACCTTATTGTTTATAACGACAGCACTTCTAGCGTGAGGTGATTGATAATTGCACGTACGTGTGTGTTTCCCAGTTTATCAAAGGTCGAAGTGTGGAGGTGAAGCCTATAAATGAGAAAAAATAACTAAGAAGGCACAAGTATTATTGCCAGCTTTTGAAAATATTTTCATTGAGTTTGGAAGGAAAAAATTTAATTAACAGGAATTTAATATTCTAGGATGACGAGAGTTGGTGGAGGCACTGGGAAATAGTGATGGTGGTGTTGACAGCAAGTGAGTAAAATAATACTGATAATACTTCTAACGACAATAGTAACAGTAATGTAGTGAATAGAGAATGTGAGGTTTGTGGAAAGGCTTAAAGACAGCAAGAGAAGTAGAAGATGTCCACTCTGACTCTAACATGCTGTGTGTATATCACCCCACCCTCGTTTATTTCAGATTCACAATACCTGACCTGCGGAATGCAGAACTGCACAGAGGCCAGCAGAAACAAACCTTTCCCAGGCTACATTGACCCAGACTCTTTGATTGTCCAGGATGATTATGTGTTTGTTCAGGTATGAAAGATCCACTTCCATTGATTGTGTCAAAGACATTTCCCTTCCCTGCTTCTGTCCCTAATGCAGCCCCTTTGCCTGCTTACACTCCCTGAAAAGCAATAAAGAAAGAAAGAAAAAAGCATTATTATTATTATTTTTTAACATCTTTATTGGAGCATAATTGCCTTACAATGGTGTGTTAGTTTCTGCTGTATAACAAAGTGAATCAGCTATATGTGTACATATATCCCCATATCTCCCCCATCTTGCGTCTCTCTCCCTCCCACCCTCCCTATCCCACCTCTCTAGGTGGTCACAAAGCACCGAGCTGATCTCCCTGTGCTATGTGGCTGCTTCCCACTAGCTCTCAGTTTTACATTTGGTAGTGTATACATGTCCATGCCACTCTCTCACTTCGTCCCAGCTTACCCTTTCCCCCCCACCACCAAGGCATTATTTTTTTAACAAAAGGAACATTACCAATTTGAAGCTTCTATACTAACAGAATAGTAATTCCTTCCTTGGGGTGGTGTCTGGAGGACTTGTCAATGTGGGGTGCCTGGAGGTGGTGAGAGGCAGAGCCGATAGAGCACGGTCAGCCTCTGTTGTTTACAGGCACGACTGAGATCAGGGTCAAGAGAATTTAGATGAGATGCATTCAGACAGGTTTCTCACCTCCGCAAGAGTGGAAAACAGCTTGAGAAGCTGAGGGTTCAGGAGTGGTTAGAAGAGAGAAGGAGCAAGAATGCTTTGTTTCTTTTCACATTTAAGGACAAATTTAGCCTTGTTTGGACAAAACATTTAAAAATTCCTTTACTGCTTTCCATGTTAAAATTGACAAAGGTACAATAGCTAAATAGTTTATATATATATAAATAAATCTACAATTTCACTGTGATTGAGACATTCTAGATACTAGTATGTTTACTTGGACAAGAAATCATAATTTAGAATATTTAATCCCATGTATTGGGAAGTAAATGTTCAAATTCCTTACTATCAGCCTATGTACTTTTAAAGTAGTTCACAGTTACACACACACACACACACACACACATACACACTTCCTTTTCCTCTAGGAAAATGAATAATGAGCACTCTGATAACTTCAGCATCAAATTATCAAGTGACATTAAAATGGGAAATGGTTACCCATATTGGTTCTATGTATAAATCGTTTCTCTATCAGTGTTGCTTCCAGGGACCTTTCCTGTTTTCTAGTAACAGTTTAAAATCCACATATATGACTCACAAATGAAAATCAATTGTGCATTTAGAGTTTTATATATTTTCTACCCAGGCCACTATGAACATATAACCCGACACTAGGACCAAGAGGTGGTCTGGCCACGTCATGGTGAATATAACTTTCTAGTCACATTTTTACGTGTCTGGTGAAAATTCACCCAGAGCATTTGTTGACATTCTGAGTATGCAAACTCCAGATGACTTCAAAGTCCAGATGTTTATATGGGTTAAGAGTAGCAACAGGAATTCATAGAAACTGAGAGTAAAAAGGTGGTTTTCAGGGACTGGGGGCTAGGGATATGGGGAGATTCCGGTCAAAGGGGGTACATGTCCAGCTATATGATGTATAAGTAATAAACAGCATGGTGGCTATACTGTATTATATACTTGAAAGTTGTTATGAGAATAGATCTGAAATTTTATCACACACATAGACACAAAATCTTAATTAAGTAAAAGGATGGAGGTGTTAACTAACCTTATATGAGGTAATCATTTCACAATATATGCATATCAGATCATCATATTGTACACATTAAACTTGCATGTGCTGTATGTCAATAATATCTCAATAAAGGTGGGGAAAAAAGAGTGGCTCCAAAGGAGAAAGAGAGTGGCAGTGCACTGCTCACAGCCTGCGCCTCGTGGTGCTCAGCTGAGTTGGAGACCATAGCGCTTCTCACCCTCCCTCAGACTCACAGGGTTCTTTGGGCTGTACATTCTGGGCAGACCTGGGGGAGGTAGCTCACCATTTGTTCTCTTCTGGGAGGTTGAGGTCTAGAATGATTTTGAACCACGATCCTGGCTTGGATTTTCGTCTAACACATCAGCAGCACTGCTGTGTGTGGGACATGCTCACAGCCAGCAGTGTGACTGCACAGAACTGGAATTCAGTGCCGAGATGGGGGCTCCCGTTCTGCCCCTTGTGACCTGGACCATTCCCTTCTCATCTGGCACAGGGACCTGTTTGTGTGGTCAAAGTCTTGGGGCTAGATGGCTGGGCTGCTGAGGGACACAGATCCAATATACCCTAAGGCTTGTATTATTAAAAAAAAAAAATTGCTAAAAATGTATCCTGACTTCTGCACCACAGGGCAAATTGAAGAATTGTATTTTTGTGCAGTGGGTTCACTTTGGGCCTCTGAAATCACATACACTGTCTAAGTTGTTTTTGAACTGAATGCCAATTCTTTACACTGGCCCACAATACTCACTTACGCTGTTGTGTTGGCAGCTACCCCCTTCCATTCAGGGGCTGTCCTTCTGTGACCTGTACCGTAGTAGCTCTTCTTACACCCTTTATGTTTACGCTCCAGCTGACATCAGGAGGACGGCCACACTACTACGTTTCCTACCGAAGGAATCCGTTTGCCCAAATGAAGCTGCCCAAATATGCTTTGCCCAAGGTATGGCCTGAATCCGTTTCTCTATTTCAGTGTCTACTCTTCTTCCCAAGGACTCTTTCAGTCTCTCATAGTTATTTATTTCTTTTCATCCCCCATCTCTGTTTCTCAAGTTCACTTCTTTACTTTCCTTTTTGCCAACCTCCTTATCCTTCTTTCTCTCTCAGTGGTCCATCCCTCCCTCCCCCACCTCTCTCTTTCTCTCTCTAATTCTTTGGAATTCTTGCTGTAGGAGCATCTGAGTAAATTGATAACTGACGTGCTTTTGCTTTTCAAGTGGGATGTATTGATTTTCTAGCAGGACAGAAACTATGCTTTGGATACACAGTATATCAGTGCAACAGGTATGATATATATATATATATATATATATATATATATATATATATATATATATAGACGCGCAGGCTCAGCGGCCATGGCTCACGGGCCCAGCCGCTCCGCAGCATGTGGGATCTTCCCGGACCGGGGCACGAACCCGTGTCCCCTTCGTTGGCAGGCGGACTCTGAACCGCTGCACCACCAGGGAAGCCCCAAGAATATAATTTTATCAGAATTCTTTGCGTGGTAATTACACATGGGTCTATAGTTTTATATTTATGCTCACCTATATGCATCATCTTGTAAGACAACCTGCAGTACCAAGTTTGAGCTTTATTGCTTCTCCCTTTTACTTCTGAAATGAAAGACCTGGCCAGTGACCTGAATTTTTTCTGTACTTGTAGTGATCCGTGCCAGCAGGGACAGGGGACAATTACTGGTCTCCATGTCTATATGCTTGAGTGACTAACCTTGTAACAACTTGCCATAGGACTAATCTCTTTCACTGGGGAAAAACAACCTTGGCCCTTTAACCAGCTATGAAAAAGACTGCCCCCAAACTCTTTCTGAAACGAAACTCAAACCAGCATTTTATAAGCTGAGATAAAAATCAAAGGAAAATCACAACTTTGTATAGCCACCATCTCACTAATTCTTGTTGTGGGTAAGAACTGGACATCTCATTTCTGCTTTTCACTTTCCACCCCTCCAATCGAATTTCCATATTGAACGGCATGCATATCAATATCTGAATAAGGCGAGCACTGCTGAGATACTGCGGGAAGGCGATAGAGACCTCAGTTCTCATCAGTCCCCAGTATATTAGCAATGAAATGGTTTGAGTTTACACTATAAGCATTAATTACTTTTATACCACCAGAAGTAGCAACGATGACAATAAAAAGATAAGTAGTATTCCAGTGTATCAAGGGAAAAGTAGATCCACTTCCTGACTTCATTCTCATTCCCCAAAGTTGGTAATTTTATTTATTTTTTAAAAAATATTTATTTAGGCTGCACCGGGTCTTAGTTGCGGCATGTGGGATCTTTACTTGCAGCATGCGGACTCTTAGTTGTGGCACGCATGCAGGATCTAGTTCCCTGACCAGGGATCGAACCCAGGCCCCCTGCATCGGGAGCATGGAGTCTTACCCCCAAACCACCAGGGAAGTCCCCAAAGTTGGTATTTTTTTAAAAAATATGTCTTCTGTATTATTCCAGAAATTGTTTAGGCTTATACTGATAAATATGTATGTGTGTACACATACATACACACTCACAAATATTCATGTTGTAAAACTGTTATGCCAGATTCAGTGTGGGTGAGTCAGTAGCAAGTTAAAAATCTTTCTATATCAGTGTATATAAATGTAGCCACTTCATGGCTAATAACTACATAGGAACCCCATTATACAGCCAACTATAATTTTGTTAATCACATCTCATTAATAGATATATAGATGTTTGGCTATTTCAAAGAGTGTTGATACATACATGTACGCACATATTACCTATGTGGTTAATAAGCATTCAAACGTGTTTAGGGAGCAAGCACTGCTCAAAGAAAAATTACTGACGGGAAATCCCTGGGATTTCCATGGGAAATCCAAGAATGTGTACATTTTTAATTTTTATAGGCATTGTCACATTTCCCTCTGAAATAGATACATCATTGCATACTCTCTAAATATGAGAATGCCTATGTTTACGTACCCTCAGTAGTCCAGGTTGTTATGAGAATTTTTTTAAACATAGCCTGTCTGATGAGCAAAAATGTGGCATATCCTTATTGTTTTAATTTGTATTTATTTACTTAGGAGTGAGGTTAAGAATTTGTATTTATTTTTCTTGGTTATTTGTATTTCCTCTTCAATGACCCTTCAAAAGCTATCAAATCTCTTTAATGTTCTAGAGAAGAATGTTATGCATTATTTGCATTTTTATGCAAATCTAAAACATATCAAACTTGCCACTCCAGCTCTAGTACACCAATTGGCATTATTAGACCCCATGTTTCATAGCCTTCTTTTACCTTCTTTTTCAATCAGTTAATATATTAATCACTTCTAGGGTGGGGCCCGGGAAGAGGAAGTTTCCACTTCTGGTCAGTTTCAGATTCTGATAGCTCCCCGCCACTGAAGCCAAATCTGGCCTCTGTACCCCAACACCGAATTAAATCTTGGAGACAGAGTTTTGGGTGAAGTAGAAAAGAATAGTTTTATTGCTTTGCCAGGCAGAAGGGGCCACGGCAGGCTAATGCCCTCAGAACTGTGTGTCCCGACCTGTAGGGGGTAGTGAGGACTTTTATAGCAATGGTTCAAAGAGGAGGGTGTGGTCACCTCATGGACATTCTTCTGACTGGTTGGTGGGAAGGTAAGTGGGAATTAGCATCATCAACCTTCTGGTTCCAGCAGGTCTGGGGTCTACGTGCTTATGGGCAGCATACCATTAAATTCTCCCACCTGGTGGGGATTTCAGTATCTGCAAAACAGCTCAAAGATGCTGTTATGTATATCCCTTGAGGGGAGAACCAGGACCCTGCCCCAAGGCTGCACTATTGTTTCTTGACTGGTCCTCCCTTGTCTCTGCATCCCCTCCCTTCCCTAATGAGCAACCATTTGAACCTGCCTGTTGGAACTCAGGGAAGGTCTTGGAGGCTGAATGAAGCCTATTTCCTGTAATCAAAAAATGGGGCCACAGAAAGTCTTTTGTGTCCAGGAGCCCCACAGGGTCCTGCTTGGTTTCTTCACTTCCCCACACGTTTACCAAATGCCTTCTCACCTCTCCTCCCCTGTGCCTAAATCAAGCTTCCAGACTTGGAGAGTCCAGTGCCACCTACTGACCTTGGAGAGGCAGCAGGGAGTGGTGGTGTGAAGCAAGATCTTAATTCCCTGCCCAGGAATTGAACCTGGGTAGCTTGGATGAAAACCAGGAATCCTAACCACCACACCGCCTGGCTCTTGCCCCCAGTGAAAAATGCGTTTCTCACAGAGGCAAAAACTGTAAAAACACGTACAAAGTTTATTATTTGAGACATAGCACAACAAGTGGGAGAGCACACAGAGAAAGTTTGTTAAGACACAAGTAAGGCAGAGATGCACACCCAGAGAGAAAGGGTTTGGGCGTCCTCCCTTAATGAGGAGTGCAGTTAGTCAGAAACTAGGCAGAGATACACATCCAGAGAAGAGTGTGGGCTCACGGGCCCAGCTGCACTGCGGCATGTGGGATCTTCCCGGACCGGGGCACGAACCCGTGTCCCCTGCATTGGCAGGCGGACTCTCAACCATTGCGCCACCAGGGAAGCCCTAAAGAGGTGATTTAAATCACTTATTAGGACAGTCCTTCTGGGTCTTTGTTTATCTTTGGCCAATTATCTTGTTTCTTTTTTCACACCTGAGTGGTCCTAGGAGGCTCCCCAACATGCATGTGCAACTATTTGCTAAGATGGATCCCACCACAGAGGCCTGTGGGTACATGTCCACACATATTATGGGGTGATGCCCCCTCCCTTTTTGACCCCCAAGGAGCCTTCCTGCACATGTGCAGATAGGGAAGTTTTCCTTGACCTTAGGAGTGGTCATCTTATCTCTTTACTTCAGCAGAGCTCAGCTTCTGCCACTAGCTTTGTCCTTGGAATGTCTGGGTGAGAACAAAGCTTCCGTTTTACTCCACTTGACAAACACCAGCTGTCCAGCGCAGGGGCCCATCTGTCTCCTACCTCACCTTCCCCCTGAGAGACGTGAACCCCAAGAAATCTTTGCTGGGAGCATGAGGGACGATGGGCTGGCTTCTGTCGCTTCCTCAGGCTGGCAAGGGACTCATAGACCGTATCTAGTTGGGGTCATGGAGCTCTCGCCCTGTCTCATTAAGGGACCCCAGGGTGACTTACGCTGGTATTCTGGCAGGATCTGTTCTGAGGAGTGGCTGAAATCTCTGCATCACTATTATCCTGATGTGAAACTGTTGCAATCTGAAAGACAAACTTACCAAGTTTGCAAATATTGTAAATATCAGTAAAAGAATTATTGTAACCAGTGGCCAAAGCAGGAGTTAGAACCAAGTTATATTTGGTAACAATTTTTGATCCTGGTCCAGATAGAGTCAGCACTTGGGTTACCCTGTCCAAAGGAATGGGGCCATTTGGTGTGGTCATATATATTTTTTGATGTCTTTTTTTATTAGCCTAGTGTTATTGATGTAGATACAACAGATTCAGAAGTAGTTGGAGGAGTGACAACCTGAACATTAATAGACAAAATAGATCTTTTTTTTTTTTTTTCAGGAAGATAAGCCTGAATCCTAGTCTAGACCTGGCACTTTGAGGAGACCTGTAGTCAGGTAGCCAGTTGTCTAGTTTTATCCAAGTAGGTTTTAACCTTTGATGTGGTATTAACACATAAACCAAAGCAGTTGTCACTGATAATGATTGTAGTGTTTTTCTAGGTATGAGAAAGGTGAGAATTTGGGCTCATAAAAATCCTTACCTGAAAATATCTAACTAGCTGAAGGCCTGTTTGGTCAGTTTTTTCCCAGAGCACAAAGTGCCTCATTCCTGATCTCCACCCTGAACTCCTTTCAGGGGGGTATTGAAGGTCAGTAGCTGCAGCAGCTTCAGATTTAATCTTTGCAGAGGCAGACAGCACGTGCCAGTTTCCTGTCGGCAGGGCCCCTTCATGGTCATA